TTTTTTTTAAAAAATCTGCTCTAATTATCCGTTAGAGCAAACCAATTATTTTCTCAAAACTTCGGCTTCTTAATGACACTTCTTACTCGTTAACTTAATACATCTAATTGATAACTGTTAGTTTGTCTTCTACCCCTACCATGAGAAGATAGTTGTTGTTTGTTTTTATTGTGCAAAAGGGATCCATTACCTGGGCTTTATTTTTGTAAACAACGTACAGATAATTAGGCAAACCTAACTTCAACTGGATGCTTAAACATATTTGTCAACCAGGACACTTCTACGATTTGAAACTGCAGCTTAAACATCGAATACTTCAACTATTTTTAAAAAGCATGTTTGCCATAAATCAATAACTAACTTGATTTGATGAGAACGCAGCAAAGGCACCGCTATTTGTTGTAGCAATGTAATATCTACTGATAAAAAAGCCGCCAACAACCATATCACAAATATTTGTAATCGTTAGGAGAATGCCAGTTGTGCTCTGCTGTTGTTACCAAAATTGTGCGCTTGGCTTTCCGACGATATCATAGAAGCTTTAATGAAAGCTTCCCCTACCAGCTGCCCGCTGATAGTACCAATGACCCAGAAAGTTAACGCCTTTCATCTAATTTTTGATCACCATTGTCGGTTTTTTTTAAAGCAATTCAGCCTTAAAAAGCATTTTCCTGTTAACGTAGCGAAGATAGTTATGGAAAAAAATCACGTACTTTTTTATCTGCCAATTTGCTTTCACAGAACCACAATGTAATAATGCATCACCGGTGCCCTATGCTTATTGCTGTTGCTCTGTCAGAAGATGATAACAACTGCTCTAGGAACTTAAAAAATTCAAAAAAAATCTAGTTTTTTGATTAAATAAGTCATTAGTACAATCATACGGGTCTTTCAATTCAATAAAGTTTGCGTGGTCTGTTGAGGAATGACTATGAACGGACTAAATTTAAAACTAACAAGACTAACTCCTATCCTGATGTTGCTGCATCCAACAATGACCGCAGATCACCAATCTATTTCCCTCTCTTCTTGGGCTTATCGAGGTCAGTGCTAAACATGCTGCTAGTCACAGAAAATTATTAAAAGTAGACCCCTATTCATCCCATGTTTGACCAGCACAATTTCTTAATTTTTGTGCCAAAAATTTTTTGAGAGTGGAATCAACGATCTTATTCCATTTTCATCTTTCCCGCAGTCAAGGTTCATCTCAAGCGTTGTTCCTGTTCCTCGAGACGTGACCTAGGCGCAAAACTTAAAAAAGAAAATCTTTGAGTTTAGAGGCGAGTCGGTCAAAAAAGATCTGAGAATCTTGAACCTAAAATAATTAGATATCCAAAAAATACTCGTAAATAACTTTAAACTTTGGATTTACTTTCGCCCACTGAAAAAAATGCCTTTTACCAAATCATGAAACGTAAGAAAGAAACTTACGTAAGAAAGAAACTTTTTTTCCGTAAGAAAGTGTGATAAAGACGCTTATCTGGCTCATGTTACTTATAGAATGGTTTCAGAGTTTAGAAAGCTGATGCCTTTTCCATACTTTACCAAGCAGAAATAAAATTATTCTTAGCAATAAACTTTTTGGTGCTACGAAGTGGACACGGACGCTATTTACAAAAAAGCACTTTGCATCGACGAAAACATTGCCGAATTACAGCAGAACAACATTCCACAGGAGGCATGCGGAGCAACAAATAAATCATTTCTAGTAAAAACAACAGATGACTACTTTCTAAGAGTAAACCTGAAACCCAAATAGCTCCTTACAGATCAACTCACGCTTCAGCTACGCTTACACTTAGGCATCAGGCTTACGTTGGGTGTGCACTTTTCACCTTAGCCATACGCCTAAGTCTGAGAAAACCTACACCTAAGCACAAAGCCTAAACTAAAAACGAGGTTAACACTAAAAAATATGCCTAACGCGAATCCAATACTCAAAACTAAGCATAAGGTCTGAACCTGACCTACGCCTAAGGCTTAAGACTGAACCTGACATAAACCTCAGTCCAAGACTAGCTTAAGGCGTGTGTCTACTCCTAACCAGGGTTACTCACACTTTATTTAAAAAAAACAAAGCATGAAAGAAATAAGGGAAACTAAAATATGATTATCACTTGTTCGATGTTACCTGTTAAGCTAAGTAAGTTTAAAACCTCGTAGTTTGTAATTAAATATGGTAACAAATAAGAGACGTCAGAGCTAATAAGAATGAGAGGTGGAAAGTAATAGTGACCGATGTACAAAGATTTCTAGGTGAAATATGAAAAGAATGTTAAACAAAAGACAGACGACAAAGTTGAACATATCCAAGGCAAACATGAGTAATAAAGACTACCTGAAAAACTTGATATTCACGATGAATTTAGGCTTCCGGCAGACCTCCAAATAAT